CAAGGATTACTCCCACCATACTGTCTGAGCAAGGTGGAACATTAATTGGTATTTCCATTTCCTTTTTTAGTCAGCTACAGACATGAGAGAAAGTATGGATCTCATGCTTTCTCATGTAGTTTTGTAATCTTAACATCCTTAGGGAATTTGCCCACTTGACTGAAATTATCCCACCACAGTTTGCCTAGACTGTCTTTTTTAGTGTTATAAACATTTACTAAGTGTTAATGAAATGTGTTCCTGACAAAAATAAAAAGCAATAGCAACAAAATTGAGAGAATATCTAAAGAAACTTCCCAGGCTAATTTATTGCTTAGCAATAATTTTGCAGTCAGTTCAATAACTAGGACTCCCAAAGAGAAACAAATAGTTTGACATTTCTTCCTTTAAATGCAGTTGCCTAGTAACTTTGAACTCTAGTTTTTCTGTTTATTTTTCAGCGCTTTCTCTAATGAGTGTGACTGCTGCATTCTTTCCAGTTTAACCGATACTGTGTCTCCCTCATCCAAGGTTATTCATACCTTGCTAATTATATGATTAAACTTATCATTAAGGCTCCATTTTCTGATTTGGCTTTGAAATTTGTTGGTTTTCTATTTCTAAATGATATAACAAAGCAGGAAGAAATTCTATTTATTGCTGGGAAACATACTATTGTACCTTTTGCTTCTGGGAACTGTGTGGATGTTAGCTGATTTGACATTACCTTGTAAACTCAGTAATTTCAATAAAGAAAGTTCCAGTTCCCAGAAATTTCCATGAGATTTATCCTGACATTATTGCATTTGGTACTTTTGATAAATACTTTTAAGACATTTTAGCAACCGGAATAGCCTTGAACTTAAAATCTGCTACCAGCTGCTGCATCTTCTTTTCACTTTACTCTGAAGTTTGTTCCAGTTGCTTTACCTTCTCATGCTACAGTGAAACTTGAGTAGATGACACCAGAATCAAACAAAGCCTGGTGTCTCTCTCCCCCACTGGTCTGAGATCTCTACAGAACTCTTCTGTCATGCTTTCCTTTAAAACAAACTTTTAAAAAAAGGTCTGTTCAATTTTAATTTCACTTGGCATAAGTGAGAAATTTCCTTTTCCTCTAGTCACTTTGTTACTCATATTCTTCGAAAAGTAAAAAAACAGGTTAAAGATTTGCAACCAATGCTCATTTTTTTGCTCACAAGTGTGGAGTCCTGCGGGAAAACTTCTGAAGTTAAACTTACGCCAGCTGTATCTGAAGAGTTCTAATCCCCTTTTATCTGAATTTTTTACCACTGAATATTTTGATACCAAGTATGTAAAGAGAGATTGCTATCGCTACTGCAAACAGCTAACAAGTATGATGACACTGACAGAGAGGAATTTGGAATAGAGCTTGAAGAATCTCTGGGGCTTACCATAGAATGAGTTTGAATATCTGATGATTTATTATCTTCTTAAACAATGACTGGATCTTCAAATCCAGTATCCAACTTTTTTCCATACTGTTGAAAATCACCCCATTCCCCAGTTCCTGAAGATGATGTAGAACAAAAGGGAGAAGACAGTGGGAAGGAAAGCATATGAAATGTGGTAAGTACAGGATTCACAGCAGTTATATATCCTGAAGAACTTCAGGAAAAAATGTAGATTGAAAAATAATGGCTGCGAGTGTTCTGATAGCTAAGTGCAGTACACATTACTGAAGGCCTGAGTTTTAAAGGGATTTAAACACCTAAACCAACGGGAGTAACACAATTTTTTGTCTGCCCCCCTGCCCTGAAACATCTGAATCACCTTGAAATATGGCCCCTTAGGTTATTGTAGCAAGTTTTGTGAGTTTTTTTATTGGTTGGGACTTGGGTTTTCTAACGTTTGTACTTCCCTGCTTATTTTAAAACAACTTTATTTTATTCCTTACCTGAAGAAAAGTGAAGAAACCAGTTGTGATTCTGTGGCTCTTTAGAGCAGCCTCTTGCTGGTATCTGGGCACAAGAATGCTGTGAAGCTGGTGGAACTAGTTAGTGCTACATTTACATGTCCTATGAACGCTCCAAATAAATACAAAATTATGGTTTATGTTAGCCAGAACAGGACTGGACAATCCACAAGACTTAATACATTTGGTCTAGTCACAGCTTTCACTCAGCTATAGCAGAAATGCAACTGATTGGGGAGGCTAAAACCAGGAAATCACAACAACAACAAGAAAACATAATCCAGATTGCTACTCCTTTTTGAATTCACAGGCTACCAGGATAGTCACATGGAAATAAGGGACAATATCTTCAAGGATATTCTACAGAAATACAGTTTCCCTCAGTGTACCAGATGTTTTCCTCTTGTATTTCTACATGCAATTACCTCTACAATTCAATTATGGTAAGCTTCAGTTTATCATTTAACAAGCTGGTTCACTCATGCTTTGTTTTTGTTAATACCAACTGAAAAAAACTCTACAGTTACACTTGAAATCAACTTCAGTGGGAAATTCAAGTTTAATAAAATCCACATTGCTTGTGCAATTTATCTGTTTATGAAAAGTATTCTTTCTAATGTAGTATTTGAAGCAGGGCTTCATATAAGAAACGCTGAACATTTCACCACACAATACGTGAGACAACAAAGTTTCCATAAATAAAGGTCAATGATATAAACTCTCCACTTAGAAAGGAACAGGCCCTGCCAGAAGGAGCTGGCTTTCTCCACGTTGCAAATCTGTGTCTTTCCCACTGTATGCACTGAACTTTTATGGTAAACATACCAGTGCCCCTAGGTGGCAAACATTTCCTGTTTACATATGTAGTAATAAACTTTTCTAGAAATTTTCTTCTTTGCCTGCTATTTCTCATCTAAGCAGCAAGTGCAAAAGCTGGAGTAGTATCATGTTTCAGTACAATCTCAAACACAAAGCCAAATCCACATTTTATTTCAGCTGTGTAATTCAACATTCTCTGAGGTCAAGAAAAAAGATCAGTAAGCATTTTCTTTTGTTTTGAGATTTGTGATCAGTTTTGTTAAAAGGCAAGGAATCTTCAGGTGATATTTTATGTTGAAAACATGTACTCAGTGGTCATATTCTTCAATGCTGCTCAGTAAAGACTTGATTGTTTCAGCCTTCTCATTATTCAGACAATCAATGAATTAAATATGGAAAGCACCTTTATGCAGTGTAGTGTGGGAAGTCATCTTGTTACTCAGCAGCAGCAACTCATCTGACACTTTTCAGGTCAAGTCACTTTCCCAGGCCAAAGTTACAGGGGAACGAACAGGAAATCACAACTGAAGCAGGCTGTAATCTTGTTAATGGAGATGCAGACAACTATCACAGAATAGAATTATTGAATGGCTTGGCTTAGAAGGGATTTTTAGAGATCGTATAGTCCAAAGGCCCCACCATGGGCAGGGATATCTTTCGGTAGACCAGGTTGCTCAAAGGCCCCTCCAACCTAACATTGAACACATCCAATGATGGGGCATCCACAATTTGTCTGGGCAACCTGTTCCAGTGTCTTACCACTCTCATCGTAAAAAAATTTCATCCTTATACCTTATATCCAGTCTAAATCTACCCTCTTTCAATTTAAAACCATTGCCCCTTGTCCTGTCACTACAGGCCTTGGTAAAAAATCTTTCTCCATCTTTCTTATAAGCCCTCTTTATAGATAGAAAGGCTGCAACAAGGTCTCCCTGGAGCATTCTTTTCTCCAGGCTGAACAACGCCAACTCCCTCAGCCTTTCTTCACAGGAGAGGTGTTCCATCCCTCTGATCATTTTTGTGGCCCTCCTCTGGACCCGCTCCAACAGGTCCATGTCTTTCTTGCACTGGGGACCCCAGAGCTGGGCGCAGTACTCCAGGTGGGGTCTCAGCAGAGCAGAGTAGAGGGGCAGAATCACCTCCCTTGACCTGCTGGCCATGCTTCTTTTGATGCAGCCCAGGATACAGTTTGCTTTCTGGGCTGCAAGTGCATGTCCAATTTTTCATCTATCAGTATCCTCAAGTCTTCCTACATCCTGAGTGTCTTTGACATCCTATATTGTTTTTTAATATGGATAACCCTCCCTATTAAGAGAAATCTGAATATAATCATTAACAAAAAAGTACTATTTAGCATGAAAAGGAGAGAAAATCTTTCATCTACAGAAAACTGGTTTTGTCTGCTAAAGCTGTTTAATAGCCTCTGAGCCCTTTCCCCTTTTTTAAGGCAAATTAGAGAATTATTACTGTGGATATTCCTTCTTAATATTGTTACTTGCCATATTAGAGCATCTGGGAGTTCCAAGATATGAAACAAATTTTCAGTGAGGCTATTACTGTGCAAACATGAGCAAAAAAGAGTTGAGAGTCGAAATTAAAGGGCAATATAAGGAATTCTCTTCCTGATGCTGTGGTGGATTTGGTATCTTGTTCTTCACGGATATTATAGAAGCATTATTTGTTCTCCAATAGTATTAGTCTGGATATTCTTCAGAGGAAGATGGCAATAATATAAGGTAGGAATCCTTCCTTGTGACACATCAAGCAGTGAAAGCTGCAGATTGACCACTATGAAAAATATTTCCACCCAATGTTTAAAACAAGTTCTCGTTCATGAGACCATGTAGTCACTACTGCTGGGCTCTGTATTTCCCAGTTGGTTGCCTTGTACACTGCCAAGAAACTTGAAAAACTAGCATCCACACTACTCAAACACTTAAGCAGTCTTGCTTCCACTGCTTTAGCCTTTTTTCCTTTTGCAGTGGAGCAACATCAGTGTTTTTCTGCAGGTATTACTGCATGTACTGGATTTGAAAGTGGGTCACTTCTTACAGCATATTGTACTAGAGAAATATAGCAGTATGACAAAAACCCTTGCATGTCTGCTGTTGATGATAAAGCAATATGTGATGTTTCATTTATGTTGACAGTGTTAAGCAAGTGTTCAGTCCCCCATCACAGTTTGCTTGATAAGGCAACTTAGGGTGCACACAGAGGTTATCTGCATTTCTGCTAGATTAATTCATGCCTAACCTCTGCAGTCTCTCCACATCAAATTTATAATAAACACTTTCAAAATTTCATTACTGTAGGCAACTCTGAGGTAAATTACTGATATACACACTTCACCTCTTAAAAATAAGATTAGCCTCAGAGGTCTAGTATTCCTGCTAGTTCATTTTGATAAAATGACTCATTTCCATAGTGCAAAATTTCTTGTTACTGAACGCATTACGTTTTTTCTGCTGATCACATTGTGAACCCCTTAAGTGTATGCTATTTGGATATATGGGTAACTCAACAAAGTGCACTAACATTCTAATCATAAATGTAATTCTTAATACATTTTATTTTGCTTAACTATAAAGCAAAACAATCCAATTCCTTAGAAAGCCTCAGTCTGAATAGATCCGTATAAAACTTTCTACAGGAAAGAGAAATAATGGAACATTCATGAGGATTTTTGGCTTTCTGAATATTCTTTTTTACCTTCTATGTGTAAGAGACAGTTGTGTGTTATGAATCAGTGCACATATCTGAATAATATTTTACATGTTACACATTTCATAATTGCGTTTTATTGCAGTTACCCAAATGCATAATAATGCAGAGGAGTAATTAAAGAATTACAGTACATTAAAATAGCAGGCTTATCAACCACACAAATAAAAAAAAAAAAACAAGAAAATTCCGAGCTCCAAGTTTTCTAGTATCTTTAATATGCCCCTTACAGCATGTGACGTTGTACCACTATATCTTATGTACGTTACTCCACTAGCCAGAGATCCAGTGACAGAAATTTCAGATCAGCTGCAATGTCTGAGCATAGCAGAATGACTTTTAACAACCTCTGTGAGGCTCTAAACTGCCTTGTGCTCTCTGTGTCTCTCTTCTCAGTACCAACAGACTTTATTCCTACTAAACTAAATATTGCCCCTGAGCTCACCAGCTGAGATTTGGATCTGGATGCATGATATTTTGGCGTAACTGTTGAATTTGTGTCTTTGTAAAACTGCAAGTTCTGAAGGACCAGAATCATGTTTAGCTCTGTGACTGCACAGCACTTGACATTGTTTAGATTGGTTATTAATTAAACAATAGTCAAAATAATCAAATTAATTGAAAGTGTAAGCGAAGCTTCTAAAGTTACTCAGTAAAAGATTTACCAATGTTAGCAATGACTTATTCTATTTATTTTAGCAAGTATGCTCAGAAGGCTGTCTGCAGAATACCTTTTTCATAAGCCCTAAAAGAGCTATAATGTCTTCCACAATTAATAATTACAAAGAAAACATATATGACAAATATAACAGTTATTTCTATAGTTTGATATTTTTTGTGAGACAAAACTACTGTCCTTATTTATGTGATTTGATTTTCCTTTCATCTAGACCACTGAAAATAGACAATTTCAATTTGTTTTCTAATTCTTATTCTTCAGCACAATGCTGAAAAATTATATTCTCTGCACTAAAGCAGATACCAGAAAATATTTCCATTAAAATATTTAGCTCACGTATTTCTATTTATCTTTGATTTTAATAGAAAATGTACTAAGGTGGCTACAATTTTACCTTTTATAAAAAAAATCAGATATGGCTTACAGGAGAATTAAAATATGAAACTGAACCTTCAGAGACAAAGTTCTGATAGCAGTACTCCTATAGCATCAGGCTGATAGAAAGCGAAAATACAACTTCCTGATTCATGCAGTTCTCTCTCAAAGAAAAAAAAAAACCAATATGTAGAGTGCTAATTTGTGAAAGCAAACTTTTAAAATTAAAAAATAAAGAAAAACATTTATAATCACTACTATTTCCACAGTTAGGACAGCATTTAATCGTTTTATAATATTGCCATATTGGATATATTAGATATGTTAAGATACATTACATATCTTGGCCTCCTTGAAGTTAATGTGTGTTTAGAAATACGTTTCTTTGCTAGCTCTTGCTCTCTCAAAATTTGATGCTACAAGAGGCTTAAATAGACTACACACTGGCTCAAA